TGCCATAGGTTATGGTAATTTTACATTGTACTGACATGAAATAATTCTGCTTATCTCAAAAGCAAGAGTGCTGTTTCATGAGGAAAAAGGTGTAAACTGAAAGACAGATAAGTTAATGAGCTGCTTTAATTATGTAAAGCCTTTGTTGTTAGAATAACTTTGCTGTTATGTCAAATGTATTTATTTCTTTGCACAGGGTCTCCTATTTTATGTTTTCCCTTTTTCTACTTTTTATGATTGTAATACCATCATTTCTCTGTTCCCAATTTTGTTTTATGTTTTGTCATTTCCCAAGAAACAACTTCACTTTCGGTGTGATTATGCCTCAGTTTGACCTTATAATGCATGACAAATTATCACATAACATTGTCAGGTATGGCCAGTATGACAGTGCAAAAGAGACTTTTGAGGTCATTTCAGATTATGAAAGCATGCTTGATCTATTTATATGTCACTTGAATCCTAGTGCCATGCGTCACCTTGCCCAGAAATTAGAGGAAGCTGCTATTGATTCAGAGCTAAGGCGATCCTGTGAAAGAATCTTAAGGGTCCGTTCAACTGGATGGACACAGGGTATCTTTGCTAATTTTGCTGCTGAAAGTATGGTACCTAAAGGTCCAGAATGGGGTGGAGGGAACTGGGACATCAAGACACCAATCAATATGAAGGATATACCACAGTGGGAGCTAGCAGGAGAAGTTATGCCATACATGAGGACTGATGATGGTGGCATCCCAGTTATTGTGGCTGATCATATTGGTGTATACTTGGGTGCAATTAGGGGAAGGGGCACTGTGGTTGAAGCAAATGAAAAGAGTTTAGTTAAAGTACTGTCAGCAGTGAGTGGTGAAAACAAGTCTCCATTTGAGTCTCAATTGAAGCAGAACAAAACAAGCGTGATAGGTAATTCAAAGGGAGATCCAATGGTTGATAACTTGACTAAACAGTTGGCAGGTCCTACTGCTCCAACTGATGAGCAGGCAAAGGCAGAGGAAGAGTTTAAGAAAGCCTTGTATGGTGTTGTTGATGGTGGTAGTAGCGATGAAGATGAAACAACAGCAAAAACCAAAAAGATTCATATAAGAATTCGTGACAAGCCAATTACTGCAGCTACAGTGGATGTCAACAAACTCAAAGAAGCCACAAAACAATTAGGACTGGGCCATCCTATAAGGACCAAGTCACTATCTGGACCACCCCAAGATTTCTCACTTATTTCTACTCAAACAACCCCTGATAGTAATCCAAATGCACCAGTTACTGCTGGTGACATGTTTGGGGCTGATACATTATCAGCACAAACATCAACACAGTCTAATCCGATGGTTACTGGTATGGGAGTGGCAGCTGGACCAATTCCAGAGGACTTTTTCCAGAATACCATTTCATCACTGCAAGTCGCAGCTGCACTCCCTCCTCCTGGACAATACTTGTCAAGAGTTGATCAAAATGCTCAAGTCATGGACAGGAGCAAATTGGCTTCCAGCCAGAATGTATTGGCTGATATTGGCCTTCCAGATGGTGGAGTGCCACCACAAGAATCGCAGCAGCCCCAAGTGTCACAGCAGTCTGCTACACCCCTTGCACCAGTTGGTCTTCCTGATGGTGGAGTTCCTCCACAGTCCCAAAATCTTCCTCCTCGGAGTCCCAACACTGTACAGCCAGTTGATCTCAGTTTTCTCGAAGGGTCCAACTCTGGGGACAATGCAACAAAAACTTCACCTCTCCCTCCATCTCAACCTACTGCTGTGCGCCCTGGCCAGGTAAGCATGTTTGCAGATTAACAAAAATAGCTTTGATACATTGGTTGATTACTTGATTTATGTCTCCATAATTTGTGTAGGTTCCTCGTGGTGCTGCTGCTTCAGTATGTTTCAAGACAGGCCTTGCGCACCTTGAGCAAAATCAACTTTCTGATGCCTTGTCTTGCTTGGATGAAGCTTTCTTGGCTCTTGCTAAGGATCAGTCACGTGGATCTGATATTAAAGCGCAGGCAACGATCTGTGCCCAATACAAGATAGCGGTTGCTATACTACAGGTACTATCCACAATTCAGAAACATTATTTAACTTGCAAAGCCAAGGGTGTGTGATACATAGTTTGATAATTTTCTTTACCTCTTAGCATTATTAATTAATGCTTAAACCAATATGCTTCAAGAAAGTACAAAATGATACAAAATAGTGAAATACACCCTTCAAAAATTTCTCTGTGCTGTACTTGTATCTTTTTGGTAGCATAGAAGTGTTTTAGTATGCCAAATTTGTTAAAATTTCAACCATGTCATACAGTAGTATTTGACTGATCAACTATAGTATAGAATATTCCTTTCCTTTTCTTCCCGTGGATTCTAGTGTTCTAGCATATTATAGCTTGCAGAATAATTGATCTCAAGTCAGAGAGGGAGTTTTTTCTTGCAAGTTATTAAGGATGCTATCCTGGTACAGTCATCATATCTATTCTTTGAGTAGGAAAAAGAAAGAATGTTGCTCTAGTACAAATCTGTAATATGAAACTGGTCATTGGCATTTAAAGGACTGCATAGATATTACAATTTGAGTGGTACTTTGTTGTGACAGTGAAGTGCTAGATCATCTATGCATTTCAATTGTACAAACAATAACAGAAAAGAAATAAATATATTATAGAGTCATATGATTCAGTTGAGGAAATATATTGACTTCCCAAATTTATGTTAATTCTCTTTCTATGGCTATTTTTCTCCAAAACATATACATCTGTATGGTTTGGATATGCTGAATGCATCATTATATTTGAAAAAAATAAAGTAATATATATGTAGATGTAACAGATAGTTTAATTGTACTGTAGTATATATGACAAAGTTTGACATTTTATTATAGCATTAGAATATGTAGTTATTACCAAGGATTAAAATCTTGTCACAACCCTATTCCACATCGATGGCGATCGAATTAAGATCCTTGAGGCTTACAACTTGATAAATGATAAAGGGTATTTAAACATGTCACTAAATATTTATCATGAAAGAATATGGAAAGAATACTACAAATTTATGATAAATGAAATAATATTATTATTTTAAAATTTTAATTTCCTTAACCATAGTCTAATGCTCGATAAAAGGATGTTCCATTGTATGAGGCTCCTGTTAGTATAGGTGTGGAAAAGGTTAGTGCACGTGATGGTAATGTTGTTGGTAAAGTACTTCCATGACTCAAAGCATGGTCTCCCATGTTGCGAAGGTGCTATCTCATTATGGTGCCAAAGCTCAACTTAGTAAAGAAGCTAGAGAGAATACTATGAATTTATTGTAAAATAAGACTATTGTTTAATTTCATTAATCATAGTCTACTAATTAAAGTAATATAAAATTGTATAAGTAACTCTATGTCCATCTCAATCCTAGTAGATCAGATCGCTATTCAAGAAACAAAGTTCTCTTAAGATGTATCCATAGAGAAATGTTTACAGCTTTGGTATCAGACCCGTGTGGGTCCAGTCTGCACCACCATACCAGCAGACTGGTAATTATATGCTGATCTTACCCTGTTTTTATGCTTATATGGAAAAAATTACCTTTAGAATTATACACAGAATCCATAAGCCTATGACTCATTTTGCAAGGGTTTTATTTTCTTTGGTTCTAGATGTTGGGATAAAAGAACAATGCATTTGTAACACATTACTTGTAGCAGATGAATTGAAAAGATTTTATATCAAAAATGTTTTGGAATCATTGATATTCTCGTAATATATATCTCTTATTGCACTATGATTGGTGAGTGAATGATGTGATCATTTTTAGTACAAGTTAGTCTAACTAATATACTCTAGGGACAAATTGCCTCGTGCCTATATTTAGTCTCTTCTGTGTTTGTATTTTCACTGAACTGGATTTGAAGCTGCATTTGGTAGTTACTAATCATATCATTATTGGCTTTCCTTGTGTGGGTGGGATCAGTCAGAGTTGTAGCACTAGCTAATTACTTATACAATTGGTATATTTCTTTATATACTTAATTACAACGAAAAGAGTTGTTCTTCTGGAAGGTGTAATGTTAAAATTTTCATAATTGTTGACATTAACCTTGTCATCTGTATCTGTTCTAGGCATTGTTATTCATACTCTTGATACCATGACATTTATTGGTTACTGGCAGCTTTGGATTGACACATTTACTTATTTCAGGAAATTGCTCGCCTCCAAAAGGTTCAAGGACCTGGAGCTCTCAGTGCAAAAGATGAAATGGCAAGACTGTCACGTCATCTTGCTTCCCTGCCCCTCCAGGCAAAACACCGCATCAACTGCATTAGAACAGCAATCAAGAGGAACATGGAGGTTCAAAATTATGCCTATGCGAAACAAATGCTTGATCTCCTCCTCTCGAAGGCACCCCCAAGCAAGCAAGAGGAGCTGAGGGGTCTCACTGATATGTGTGTGCAAAGGGGTTTGTCGAACAAATCCATTGACCCATTTGAGGACCCCTCTCAGTTCTGTGCTGCCACTCTCAGTCGCCTTTCCACCATTGGGCACGATGTCTGTGACCTTTGTGGTTCAAAATTCTCTGCACTTTCCACACCTGGATGTATCATCTGTGGTATGGGAAGCATAAAGAGATCAGATTCTCTTGCTGGGCCAGTTGCCTCGCCGTTCGGGTAACGTAGTGGTGCACGACAGCTTAATGTTGTTTCCGTTTGTAATGTCTTTTGAATGACTAGATGTCGTATGTAATGTATTTTGAATGACTAGATGTCTGCTGTGGCGTAGAAATTTTGTTCGATATTTTCATGGTTGTAGCTTTCATTCCCATTTATGTGCATGTAGCATTCGTACCCATTTCGCATAAGTTGTGATTGCACATGATGTAACAGCTATTGTTATTCCTTTGGGTGTGCTTTGGTCAACATTCTTTCGCACATTTTTCATGTTGTTTTATTTCAACAAAGTTCATATAGATTAGGTCACGTGAGCAAAACTGTATCATAACGTTACAAAAAATGTTCATTTCCAAAAGTCCCTGTACATGATACATTATCCATTGCTAAGGCTTCCTATCTCGCCAGTGAGCTGAGCTAGCATCGAGTAAATCTCGTCCGTCTGTGGATGTGATCTATCACCGCAGACAAACGCGTGTACCATCCCCCTCCACCCGATCCAGCTACAGCCGGGCCTCTTCCTCACCCCCTTCCTCCCCATCTCCGCCCGCACCACCACTTCTTCCTTGTGGCTCCCGCTCCTGGCGTAAACGTGGCACAAAGCCACGTGGGCCGCCGCATTCTTCGGGTCCATCCCCAGCACCATCCGCGCCGCCCGCTCCCCCACCGCCGTCTCCTCGCCTCCGCCCCTCGCCATTCCGCACGTGCCCAGCAACGCGCCCCACGCCTCCACCCCCGCCCGCCGCCGCCGCCGCCTGCGCCGACCCGGCGAACCGCTCCGCCGCTTCGAACCGCCCTGCCCGACCCAACATGTCCACCACGCACGCGTAGTGCTCCGCCCTGACCGCGATCCCGCGGTCTACCATGAACCGGATCACCTCCTCCGCCCGCTCCACCATCCCCACGTGATCGCAAGCCATCAGAGCCCCCAGGCACGTGCCTCCGTCCGGTTCCACCTCCTGCTTCATCTCCACGACCAGCCGCAGCGCCTCGTGCGCCCGCCCGTGGTGCGCCAGACCCATCACCATCGTGTTCCACGTCACCGCGTCGCGCCACCCTCCTCCTTTCCCCGCCGCCTCCTCCTCAAAGACCTTCCGCGCGCCCTCCAAGTCGCCGCTCTTGGCGTACATCGCGACGAGGGCGTTGCGGAGCACGGTGTCGGACGCGGGCCCGGTTTTCACTGTCAGTCCGTGCACCTGCTCGCCGACCTCGAGGCGGGCCACCGATCCGACCGCCCCCAGCAGCGCCGCGAGCGCGTGCCCCTCGGGCGCGAACCCGGCGGCGCGCGACTCCGCGAACGCCCCGAAGGCCTCCGCCACCCGCTCGTTCCTGACGAGTCCAGAGATCACGACCGTCCATGCGGTGGCGTCGCGCTCCGGCATCCGCTCGAACAGCCGCCGCGCCTCCGCCAAGTCCCCAGCGTCGAAGTAGGCGGACACCATCATGGTCCACGTGACGATCATGGTCACCCACGACAGCTCTCTCGAATCAACGGTGATCTCGTCGAACAGGCGCCGGGCTTCTTCCAGCCGTCCGATCCGTATATACCCCTCGATCATGGAGTTCCAGCAGACCGCATCACACCTGCGAATACTTCTGTCAAATATGTGGCGAGCCCAATCCATGTACCCAAATCGAGAGTACATATAGATGAAGCCCTTTGTTAGCCTCGCGTCCTCGCCATTGCCGTCCATCCCGTGGACCAGCGCGTACGCGTGCGCCTGCTTCCCTAAGCAGGGGAACCCCATGCCGGCGCAGGCGTAGATCAAAGACAGCAGAGTCTCACCGTTGGGCTCCAAGCGATCCGCCGTCCGACTCATATCCAGGAACAGAGAGACCGCCTCGTGATGGAACCCGTTCCACGCGAACCCCCCCATCATGGCCGTCCAGGTGACGACGTTAGGGTCGGGAATCATCATCTGAAACAGATCGTACGCCTCCCAGACGTCGCCCGCTCGCGCGTACCCCGCGATCACGGCCGTCCACGACACCACGTTGGCGGACCCGCACCGCACCATCTCGTCGAACAGGCTCCTGGCCTCCGCCATGTGCCCTCGCTCGGCGTACCCCGCAATGAGCGAGTTCCAGGATGCGGCGTTCCGCTCGGGCATTTCGTCGAACAGCCTCCGAGCGCCCGCGAGGTCCCCACTCCTGGCCAGAGCCGTGAGCATGGCGTTGTAGGAGACGACGTTGCGCTCCGGCAGGGCGTCGAAGAGTGCCCGGGCGTCGTCGATCCGGCCGGCGCGGGCGAGGGCGCAGAGGGCGGAGGTGTAGGAGACGACATTGCGGCCGGGCATCCGAGCGAAGAGGTCCAGGGCGGCGGACGTGCAGCCGGCGTGGAGATAAGCGGCGAGGAGAGCGTTCCAGGTGACGAGGTTGCGGCGGGGCATGAGGTCGAAGAGGGCAACGGCCTCGGGGAGGAAGCCGGCGCTGGCGAAGCGGGAAATGGCGGAGGTCCAGCGGACGACAGCTCCGGGGTGGTGGGCGGAGTCATCGAGGACGCGGCGAGCAGCGCGGAGGTCGCGTCGGGAGAGGCATTGGAGCAGAGGGAGGTCGCGGGGATGGATGGCGGACGACGATAGGACGCGGCACGAGGGCATCAGTCCGTCAGGTAATGGTCTTTGATATCAAATTTTGCCGGCCAGTCGCCGAATGGCTTTCACTTAATCTATACTTCGTGTAAGTTTCTCTTTCTCACATAAAAACAACTAATCTTTGCCACACTCATTAATTACACAGTGATTCGTAAAAATCGAATATTTAGATTTTTATAAATCAATTTTTAAGATTTTTTATTTTGTTGGGGATTCTTAAAAATCTCATCTCATCTCATTTCATCTCATCTCATCGTGCTGTTGCCTGTTGCCTACTATATAAGCATTCCATGCGATTCCCGCCTCGTTGCCTTGTCTCGTTACTTGCCGCAATACTCTGCCCTCGGTCTTGTTCGCCCCTCGACGAAGCGAAGCATCTCCTGCCGAGCTCCTCCATTCATGTTCTTTTTCCCCATTGACGAAGGGAGGAATCTCCTGCAAAGCTTCTCCGTTCAGCTGACTATTCGCGTTGCCTACCTTCTAATCTTTGGATCTGATGCGATTCTCCTCTCGGAATGCTTCCATTTGGATGATTAGCAGGGATTCTTCGTATAAGACTATTGATCGCGTTGTTCGGATCTCCCGAACTCATTCGTTGCTTTCGTTTTCTCCGCCGGTGGATCTGATCGCTTTACCTGTTCGTCTCGATTCGAGATAAGGAGGTTAGGATGTTTCCGTGTTAATGAAGGCTGATACATAAAATCCAGGGTTCTGATCTGAATGGTTGATGGCAGCTTAAACCATGGATTGTTTCCCAATTAATTCGATGTGTTTTTCGGACTAATTTCCTTTTGGGTGCACCTTCAAAGCTTCTTATCTATTTGCCTGTTCATAGTAGGTCTATATTTACTTTATGGAGCTAGTTCTCTTTGGTGCTGCAGATACAAGACTTCCAAATCTAACTTACTTGTGTGGACGGTATGGCTGATGCTAGCAAGGTATCTTCCTCTTTGGCCTTTGGACCTCAATATTGCTTTGTATGTATCTTTTCTAAAGTTTGTCTTACTGCTAATGAAGTTCCACATTTTATGTTGCTGGAAGTATGACCACTTCACTTCTCTTTCTTTGATACACACGTCTCCTGAGGTTATTCTGTCTCCAGGTGTTTCTGTTTGCAATTGCTTTTGGCTATCGCCATTATTGCTCTTATTTATGTGATTTAAAAAACTGATTCAACAGTATAGTTTATTATGCTTTCTTCTTTGTAAAGTTAGTGCATTATTGTCACTTCAACATAGTTGTCTAGACTTGTATGTTTCTAACTTAGACTGAAGCTTACTTTGCATGTTATGGCAATAATAAAAAAAAAGCATTACGAACTTGATGCCATGCTAAGTATCAAAGTATAATTGCTATACCTGTATGCAGGATATTGTTGATGGATTTCCAGGGGACAAGAAGATCATAGTTGTGTTTGTTTTAGGTGAGTACCGGTTGCCTTACAATAGGATTATGTCAAGTACTCGGCTGGTTTGGTCAAATATAATTTTATAATTGACTTTTTATGACATCACTCTTTTTGGTTTTCAGTGTCCAACCACAATTTTGACACTCTTTTCATGTGTGAAGCGGTTGCCATATAATAAATAAATTTGATGTTTTCTCCCTAGAGTGATCAAATTTTCTTTGAAGTTGTGGCATCTAATTGACTGTCATCCTGTTTATGAGAACTTGTCATTAGAAACATATCATTATTTTTCCATCATGTCAATTAATAAACAAGCGTGACCTGTTGCTTGAGTCTCCCACCAATATTTTGTTTCAATGAATGCATTCTTACCCTTATAAGCGAGAAGCTTTTTCCATGACTTGAATGATGGTCACTACGCTGCAAATTAGCTACCTTATGGTTGTGCCAAAAAATCAAATTATTAATTATAAATTTAATTCAAGGATCCAAAAGATTACAACCCTAAATGGTAAATGCTCGTGGTCTCATGTATGGAAGATTTTTTTGGTGAGATCCTCTATCAAATTTTCACCATTCGTTGTGATAATTGGATAGTAGGTCATGTGCATTAATGTCTAATATACTCTTTGAACCTTGCATCTAAAGGCATACTTTGCTCAATTGCTTTGGAGAGATTCAAAATAGAGGTGGTCAATTTTTTTTCTTTTATCTATTTCCTCTCCCTTTCCTTCCACTGACTAACATCTCTCTCTTGTTAAATATTTTATAACTACTGATGCTGATAGCCAATTAACACATCATACGTGTTACAGGTGGTCCTGGCAGTGGAAAGGGCACACAGTGTGCAAAGATTGTTCAACACTTTAATTTTACCCATCTTAGTGCTGGTGATCTTTTGCGTGCGGAAATTACGTCTGGTTCGAGAAATGGGTATTATATAATGAATGCCTTTATCTTATTGAAATATATTATTTATATTTATGCAGTGTATGTCTTTCCCAGCCTGATTGAAGCTTGTCTTATGCCATTCTGGTCAAGGGATTAGACCTGAATTGCTTGGGATGTCCTGGAGTACCATAACCATTAATTGGCTGAACAGAAACCAAGAATGAGTGGAGGATGTTTATAGAAGGCAGCATGCAGTAAGCAGCACCAAGGTGATAATCAGTTGGTTAAAGGGCTAATTTATGGTGCTTTCTTAATAAACTGGTGGGCAAAACTTGGTGAAAGAGACATGTGAATGAGTTAAATTGGATACTGGTCTTGAGACAAAATAGGGAGAGGGGTAGGGAAGGGGAGAGAAGAAGAGAGTGATCAGGCACTGTGCAGGAAGAGCTGAGTACCTTTTGCAAGGGGTATAAGGGATGGAGAATTTTAGTTCAAAGAAGCAGAAGGGATAGCTGAGGCAATCGGAGCCTGATCATGAGATGGAAGCAACATGGAAGAGATGATCTAAAATAAATGAAATAGCTTTTCTATAGTGGAATAGCTATACAATTGCCTTGGCAACTAACACTATGAACTGAGGATTCGATGAATATAATTGAACCAGATGGAAATGATTCATTGGTCTATTTTTTGTCCATATTCCCGACTCTGTCGAACACCCTCTCTTTAAGCATTTTAATAAATCTCTTTCCTGTTAATTGATTGTTTTATTTACTTCATTTGAACATTCATCTCATTTTGTTCCTTATTCTGTTATTTGTTCAGAGTTATGATTCAAAACATGATGAACGAAGGAAAAATTATTCCTCCAGAAGTTACAATTAAGCTCTTACGAAGGGCTATGCTTGACAGTGCAAATGACAAGTTTCTTATTGATGGGTTTCCTCGAGATGAAGAGAATCGTGCTGCTTTTGAGAATATTGTAAGTCTTCAATTTGATACTTGTTTAGTCGATGATATTTGCTTACTCTTTCAGAAATTCTGTTTTTCTACATTTAGTTGATATAATGAATAGGTATCATGATGCATATCGTTAGCTCAAGTTTTCATCTGTTTTCTCAGACAAAAATCGAGCCAGAATTTGTTTTATACCTTGATTGCCCAGAGGATGAGTTGGAGCGGCGAATTTTAAGTCGCAACCAGGTTTTACAATTTGTCACCAATTTGCCTTGTTTTGACATTCAATTTTTTGTCCTTCAAGTCCATGTTATATTTCAGGGAAGAGCTGATGATAATACTGAGACCATGCGGAAACGTTTTAGAGTTTTTAAGGAATCCACTCTGCCTGTAATTATGCATTACGACTTGAAGGGCAAAGTCCGGAAGGTAATTCCTCGGTTATTGTTTTTTAAGAGCTTCCCAATGTTGTCATTTGGTAGTCTTTGATCATGCTTTTCAAATGGCTCCCTGATGATGTGTCATTCCAGCTGTTGAGTTTGTATATTCCATCAATTTGAGGGTCTAACTTGCAGTTACATTCTCGATGTTAATCGAACTCTATCCCTGTGATTATCTAACTTTGTAGTTCTTAATCAGTTGATTATTGCATTTCTATGACAACTGTTAGTCCAAGAAGTAATATGTTATCACAACTTTTTAAGTACAGTTGCAGTTCTCTTGCTGGGGAATTACAAGCCATCGGTGCTCTACTATACTTTCTATTCATAAATTTGCACGTTATGCATCATAGACCAATATGCATGTTATGCATATTCATAAAATGATACTTTCATAGACCAATATGCTTGTTATGCATATTCTTAAAATGATACATTCATAGACCAATATGAATATTATGCATCATAAGTTTGTTAAGAAAATCTTGAATCATTGAGTGATATGTTTTTCTCACAGGTTGATGCAGCAAAGCCTGTCGATGAGGTTTTTGAGGATGTAAAAGTCATTTTTGCTCCGCTCATTGCTAAGGTGTAGTTACCATCATCCTGTCGCCGTTTTCAATGAAGTCTCATCTCTGTACATGAACAACATTTGGTACATTCCTTTGCCAGGCAAATTACTTGAGCAATCCAAGTACCAGAACTCTAACGGGACATGAATACATGGTGTTTTATATGAACAGGTGATTCCTTGACCCTTATAACAGATATTAGTTGAGAATTTTGCTGCTCTATGTATTGAGCAGCAGTAGCTATTCCATTTTCTTGTTGGCTTTACACTGGGTATATTCTCCAGCCAATTTATTTGCATGCAAGATGATGATCATCCTAAGTTCAGTGATATTTCTAGAACCTTGGATATTGCTACAAACTTAAGCACAGAAGGGATAAATTTGATGTTTATCGGTGATTTATTTTGCATTATGCAGGTTATGTGGAGCTGCAAGGAGGATAATAGTGTATGCATTCTGGAAGGTATATGTTGTTCTGCTTGAATTATGAACATTATATTTTGGTAGTAAAATGTCTAAAGAGTATATTATAGTGTACAAAAGATCATCTCAAGTTTCCAGAAAAGAAGTCAATCAACTCTCATGCTTCCCCCATCTATGTTCCTTTCCACTTTCGAACTCTACTACATATATCTAGTAACATGGACAAGTAAGGTTTACGTTACTGACAAATACACTGGACTTTGATTTACATGTCTAATAATTTCAATATTATCATATATGCATAAAATCTTGATTTGTGGTGTCTTGGCATTTCAATATGGTGTCAGCAATTATGTTAATGTACCACACAAATTATATTTCCCTCTTCTTTGGTTCTTGCAGATATTTTCCTGGATCAGGGCTCGCCTGTCCTTGTAAACCTACTGCCTCTATGTATTTCCACTAATGTGACAACTGTTTATCGTGAATGCAACGTATATGATCATTGGTTATATTCCTTGCCGCATTTGATTGTTCACTTGCTGCCTCTCTACCAATGCCTTGATACATATTGTAGTTTTCATTTTTCTGCTCCTGATGTTATATATAACAAGCATATCTACATTTTGTCAGAATCTTCTGAATGAACATTTTTTACTTGGTCGAACTAATTGAAAATTTTCTCATGGCGGAAACCAAAAAATTATTAAATGAATCGTGCGAGTAAAATTTTGTTTTCTGCAATGCTTTGATCAATAACAGGACATGCTACTGAAAAGTTTTTTGGTAAATTTTGGGCTCTCTGCATCATGCTTGAATTAAGAATTTGTGCTTTTACGCATGCATGTTCATGATGTTGCATATGCACCTATTATTTTTTTTTTCATCTTCCTCTTTCTAGAAAGGCAAATTCTTCATGATTATATATATATGCATAAACCACTCTCTTATTATAGGATCATTGATACTTAAGTAGCTCTTTAGTGTTCGAGGACTTGTTGCAAATCGTATTAAGTTCATTCTACTTGACCAATGGCCTATCAGTGTTCCTTATTATGACTGGTCTCCCATTGGATTTAGTCGTACAGGAAATCACACTAAAAGAAACTTACAATTCATGTGGTTGACTTGTGGTTGACTTTGAATGTTTCTGCTCTGCTGTCATTTGAGATTCAATTATTGAAGTCATGTTGGTTGTCATACTCTTCAAACTTCCGCGTTGGATTTGGTAAGAGTCAAACTTCTATTAGAAACCCACTATTAACTAATCTGGTGGTTGTGCATCCCGGAAAGATCGTTGCTATGGTGCGATCCTTGAACCGGACAAACATAGCGATACTATTTGATCATGCTTAGTTCAATTTTATTAGTGTCCTCATTTGGATTATAGAGTCGTATCTGCTTATGCTGTGGTCTATCCTTTTCTAATTGACCCGATGCTTCAAAATTTCTCGCACAGATTGCATGTGTTGATGCCGTGTGAAAATGAAACCTTACTACATTTATTGACATTAATGTCGCATTTGATTCTTAGATCTAATTCGTCTCTTAATTAGGTGGTTCTTCAGCCGAGCCTTAAAATTGTCGATCAAAGTGACAACTCATGAGAGGTTAATCCTATCCTATTAGTTGGAACTTATGATAAAAAAAAGTGAGTTAATTATATTATCCTCTGTAATTAGTTATATTTATCATTTCGGTCTTTATATTTTTAAAAGTTAGTTATATTATGATTTTTATACTTATGAAAATAAAATATTAAAATCCTTATTTATTTATAAACTTGGGACCAACTTCTCATTCTACCCAGAAAGTGCTCTATTTTATTCTAATTTTAGTTATAGGAACCTCTAGTTTGATTTCTTTTGGATAGTCAAGCTAAGTCTTACATAATCTAGTGGTGGATACCCTAAAATGAATTTGAGTAGAACAATTAAGTGATACGAAATGTACTTACACTATTTACAGAGCCATATATATCACATCTCTTTTATCTTTTATATATATATATATATATATATATATATATATATATATATATTCAAAATTTATAGTCGCGACATATGTGAGAATTGAATTGGCGCGCTGTGCGTCGTAGTACGCACGTGCCGTCTCTAACGTCTGTTCCGTATCAGACGGGCTCCGTTACCAGCGGTCGTCGCTGGCGTTAGTTACCACAACAACCCCCGCCTTCCCTAACAAAACCACGAAACGATAAGGAAATTTCAGTAACTACTTACATGAATACGGGTTTTGAGTTGAACTTACCCGCCATGCAATTCGAGAGGTCCGTGGGTCCCCGCGGGGTCCATTTTTTGCAGGATCACAATCGGGCAATAAACGCGTGGTCAGGGTAGATATTGGTCGTATTCCTTCACAACACCTTCCGGTACGAGTGCGCTCATTGACCGGTACTCTGCTCTTCAGATTCGCTTCGTTTATCCTGAACCAAGGATGAATCTTCCAAATACTCGACGGTCGGCGTCTCGGACCCACCTAATCCCGTTGCGGAATTCAGCCGCCTTAAGCTACTCCTGCGGGATATTTTAGTTAATTTTTCCGTATAAATGCCATTGATTAGCTCGAGGGAACGAAGTAGGCAAGCAATCTCTCAACCGTAGGCGTTTGGTTGGAGGTTTTGTTCTGCTCGGTTAGGGGCGTCGTCGATGGCGAGATCGGGGAGGGGAGGAGGCGGCGGCGGCGGCGGTGGCCGATGGCGGAGCACCGGCAGCGATATGGCGAAGGCAACGCGATGAAGTGCAAGAGCCACCCGTACGAGCAGGGCGTCGGCGTTTGCGCCTCCTGCCTCCGGGAACGCCTCCTCGCCCTCGTTGCCGCCCAGAACGAGCTCTCCGCCAACCACCATCGTCGCCGGAGATCCGACCCACCCCCGCAGCCTCCGCCGCCTCTCGTGTTCCCCCGTTCCAGCTCCCCTTACGTTTCCCACCGTCGATCCGTCGGATTCGACGCCTCCCCTGCCCACCCCCACCCCCACCACAACACGCGGTTCTTCAGCACCCCGCAGGTCGGCCCCACCTTCGGCGATGCGGCCGATGGCGGCCGGTTCGGCGAGATCAGCGGCGGACGCAGGCGCAGGTTCTCTTTTAGGACCTTCTTCGGGCATCACAGGTCGGATGAGGCGGAGCCCGGTTTGGGGGCTCCCAAGGCTTCAGCACCGGGTTCTTGGTTCTCGGCTCTAATCCGAGGCCGCAGGAAGAAGGCGCATCTCTCCTCGGCCACAGATGAGGAGGAGGAGGCGCCACCGGTGGGAGCGCGGCGATCGCGCCGAACAGTAGAGAGGGGAATGCCGCCAACAATGGAGTACGAGGACGACAACGACGACGGCAACGGATACACCAGCGACAAGTGTCGGCGGAGGCCAACCCCGACGCCGATGCGGCTGTTCCCAGCAGCCCACCGGCCACATCGCAGCATCAGCGCCGTCTCGGGCTTCTCCGCCTGCCTGAGCCCACTGGTGAGGTTCAGGTCCGACGCACGGAGAAGCCATACGGCGGAGCCGGAGATCTCCCGCGACATCAGTAGCCCGTCGTACCCCATCCAGCACTGGAACCCCGCCGCGCTCGGGCCCAACCTGTCTAGAAATGTGGCGGCGTCCAAAAAACTCAAATGACGACTTTGTCCCCTAACGAAATCCCCATTTTACCACGTCTGTCCTCAGCCCTTTCTTATATTCTCTCTCTTCACAA